CCCAGGAGGCCAGCTGCAGGGTTGGAGGAGAGGGCAGAGGAAGCTGAGAGAGCTCACAGACCTCTAGGCTTGCACTGCTGGCCTCGCCTGCCTCCCTCCACCAGGGCCATGCAGGCACAGGTCTAATGCTCTGCCTCTACCCATTGATGCTGATCTTGCTGCAGTCACTTCCAACCAACCCTAAAGTCCAAAACTGCCCCCACTTTGTCTCAAGCACCCCAGCTCAAGGGCTCCTGAAGCTTCCTGGGGACAGTATTCCAGGCCCCTTATGTCCTCCAGCATTCCCTGCCTTCCAGACAGCCCTTTGTATCAGGTTCAGGGGCTGGCATGCAGATGAGCTCCAGTGGGTGAACCCTCTGGTCTCTGCAGAATGAGAAGCAGTGGTCTCAGAAGTAGCAAAGAACAATGTGGGGTCTATTCCATGGCTCTTGGCTGGCAGTGTAGCATAAGGTGCCCGGGGAAGCTGCCTGCAGGGCTTGGTTTTGGCAAGATGAGAGCTGCTTTGGGCAGGAACCTCCTCTGGGTCACCTTTGTGCGGCATCGGAGCCTGACACCATGCCAATCTTGCTGACTCCTCCTACCTCTGGCTTTTCCCCTTCCTCTTTGTCTCCCAGCAAAACAGGACTGTGGTTCCCCCCAAACACAAGTTCTACTGCCTCCAGACCATTGCCTAAGCCATATCCTCCCAGACAGACCTTCTCTGCTCTGACCCTACCAGCCTGCTAGGCTAACTGTTGACATCCATGCATTCCACTGCTTTGGCCAGCTGGGTCAGAAAATGGCTGTAGCCTCCCAATGAAGCCAGAGTTCTCAGGAGTCATCCCCCACCCATCTCCTATGAACTCAGCTGGGCAGCTTCTACAAGGAACGGCTCAGTACATTCATGTAGGTGACCCTCCCTGCGTGTTTAAATGTGTCCCCAAAGTCCCTGCATTGCAAGCTTAATCCCCAGTGCGCCAGTGTGGCATGTTGATTTTATGATGATGCTGGTGGGCTCTTGATGGAAGCTATCGTAGATTGAATGACAATGGCCCCCAGAAGCTCATATGTTTGTATGCTTGGTCCACACATGGTGACACTGTTCGGGAGGAATTAGAAAGTGTGGCCTTAGCCGGGCAGCCGTGGCACACGCCTTTAATCCCAGCACTTGGGAGGCAGAGGCAGGAGGATCTCTGTGAGTTCGAGACTAGCCTGTTCTACAAGAGCTAGTTCCAGGACAGCCTCCAAAGCCACAGAGAAACCCTGTCTCGAATAAAAAAAAAGTGTGGCCTTGTTGGAGGAGTGTCGCTGGGTTTGAGGTTTCAAAAGCCTACACCATTCCCAGTTAGCTCCCTCTCTACCTCATGGCTGTGTCTCAAGACGTGAGTTCTCAGCTGCTGCTCCAGCACCAAGCCTGCCTGCTGTCATGCTCCCCGCCATAATGGTCATGGACTGACCCGTCTGAGCCCCAAATTAAACACTCATCTCTAAGTTGCCTTAATCACGGTGTCTCATCAAAGCAATAGAAAAGTAACTAAGGCAGAATGGCAATTCCCTGACACACACTCCTACACAGCTCTCACTGTGAGGGCATGGCAAGCAGGCCCTCACAATCACACACAGGACATCCTGAAGCTGGCCAGTGCTGCCACAGATGTGTGCAGAACAGGGCGCTCTGCAGGGGGTTACAGGAAGCCCTGCCCCTCACTTCCACTCACTCTCGGACTTCCTGTTCCTCCCTCTGTAGACAGGCCCCGCCCTCAGCTCGTGACCCCAGGGAGAATCTTCCGAGGCCTTATCCCTGTAGTGCATCTCTGCTGTTTCGGGCTCAGCCAGCATGCAGTGGTGGCTGGGGCCCTATGGGATGCTGGGGCTTCCTGACAAACTGAGCCACCTGGAGACCATAGCAGCAGCTTATCAGGGAGGGAGCCAGCAGATACACATGGCCGCCCCCAACCTGGCCTAACACAGAGGAGGTGGCCAGGAAAAGTTCTCTGCCTGACTGGCTAGGGTGAGGAGATAAGCAGGAGCGCAATAAGGGAGGCAGACTTCCAGGGCCTTCTCAGGATCCCTATCCCTCCCCTACTGTAGACAAACATCCCCTGGGTGCCCACTCCCGGGCACTTCCTGGGGGGGGTACAAATCTGATCAATAAGTGGTTCCTTCTAGAAAGACGGGCTTGGACATACACGGCCCCCAGGAGAACATGAGGTTCCCAGGCCCACCATCTACTCAGTGGTTCCTCACAACCACGGCCCTCATTTCCTGAGAAGGAATTTGTGGTCTGGACTGTGTCCCACAGATCTGGACACCTAATCCACCCGACCTGGGAACATGACTGCATTTGAAGGCAGCAGGGTCTTTACAGAGGCCGGTAAGGCCGGCAGGGTCACAGGGACCAGCTCCAGTCTAATCTGCCTGGCTCTTCTAAAAGGATAATCAGGACACACACACACACACACACACACACACACACACACACACACACACACACACACACAGGGACGACCATACCGAGACAAAGAAGGTGGCGCCACCACACCCTGGAGAAAAGGAGCTGGCCCTGCTGCAGCTTGACCTTGAACTTCCCCTGCAGGGCTGTGAGGAAATCTCTGTTGCACCATCGGTCCTGGAGGTCACCTGACGCTAAAGGCCACACACTGAGCATCAGCAATGTCACCACTGGCTGTGAGCTAGGCATGGTGGGACTGCAAAGGTCAGAGCCACACCAGCAGTTCTGCCGAGCGAGCGCCTGAGCCTTGCTGGCATCTGTTGGAAGGTAGCTAGAACCCAGTCCGAGGAACAAGAGTGACCACCCACCCGCCATCTTCTGACTTCACCACCTAAGAGAACAGTGTAAAGCGAGTGAAGACGAACTCACTACCACTCCATGGGATGGGCAGCGTGTAGGGAAAAGGGACCAGTCAAAGAAACACACCCTGAGCAGAGCCAAAGAAACACACTTTGGCCCTGCAACCAGAACCAAAGAAATGTACCCTGACCCTAAAACCAGTGCCAAAGGAACACACTTTGTTCCTGGAATCAGAGTCAGTGAAAGAAATGTACCCTGGCCCTAAAATTGGAGCCAAAAGGCTAAAAAGGACCAGAGAAAGAAACACACTTTGGCCCTGAAACCAGAGCCAAATCTGACCCTAATCCTGTGTAAAAAAGTAACCAATCCCGGAGCAGAGCTCTAGCCAATCTGAGCTCAGCACTGAAATTGGACCAATCCCTACTCTGGAAAAACTTCCCCAACCCCAGGAATCCCTATATAAACCCTGTGTATGTTCAGCTTGGCTGGTCCAGCTGTCTTCCAATAAACCCCTTTGGATGAGCTTCAGGTGAAGATCTTTTGCGGCGGCGACAGAGCAGAGGCGACCCTGGGCAGAGCAGAGCAGAGCAAGCAGAGGCGACCCTGGGCAGAGCAGAGCAGAGCAAGCAGCGCTGTAACACTTGCCCGGGAAACCTTCCTTGGCAGAGCAGTTCCCTGCTCTCCGCAGAGCTGAAACTGTGGCAACTTCGCCCGAGAAACCTCCTGCCTAGCAAAACTGCTACACTAGGCGAACATCCCCAGCTGGAAGACCCTGTCCTGCCGGAGCGGAGCTGATACACCGGAGAAGCCTTTCTCTGAGGCAAGGCTGTAAGCTGCCAAGCTTACTGCAACCTGTGGTGGTCCTTGGCTCCCGAGCTCCAGGATACCTTTCCACCTGAGCTGTGTAACACTGAGTATTCTGTGACTCCCGAGTGCCAGAATACCTGACCCACTCCTGTTCCATCCTGTCCCTGACCCATCCCGACGAAACGCTTACACAGCGTCCAGCCATTCAGACAAGCCTGATTTATAGCTTATTCCATTCTTGTAGAAACCAGTGAGCTTGACGGGCGTTGGTGGCGAACGCCTTTAATCCCAGCACTCGGGAGGCAGAGGCAGACGGATCTCTGTGAGTTCGAGACCAGCCTGGACTACCAAGCGAGTTCCAGGACAGCCTCCAAAGCCACAGAGAAACCCTGTCTCAAAAAATCAAAACAAAAAAAAAAAAAAAAAAAAAAAGAAAAGAAAAAGAAACCAGTGAGCTTGACGGGACACGGCTCACACAAAAAAAATCCTTAGAGCAGTGGTTCTCAACCTTCCTAATGCTTCGACTCATGTTGTGGTGAGCCCCAACCATAAAATTATCTCACTGCTGCTTCATAACCGTAATTTTGCTACTGTTATGAATTGTAGTGTAAATATCTGATACGAGACTCGCAAAGGTGTCGTAACCCAACCCACAGGTTGAGAATCGCTGCCCCCAAAACTTCAGTTTCTATACCTGTAAGGTGCGGGAGGGAACTGCCCTCTGTAACCGGACAGGGTTGGGTCTCCGTCTCTATTCCCACGGGGAAGGCAAGCAACAGCCTGTGGGGAGATCGGGACTCAGGAAGCCTGTGCAGCCAGGGCTGCAGTCTGGGGGTGCCAAGCAGATGGATGTGTGTCTGTTCTTCTCCCCACTAAAGGCACTCAGGGAGTAGGGGTCCAGTATTTACATATTTTCTTGACTTAAAAATGCCCTCTGGAATGAGTGGTCCCAACCAATATAACAGGTGTTTTTTCAAGAAAACCCCACACCCTGCTGTGTTAGGCACATTCCTGATCTCGGCTGTTCCCACGACAGCATGACAAGCGACTACTGGGATCTTGGCTGGAAGGAACCAGATGTGATGTGACATGACATGTGGAGGCTTCTGCATCCCTACTCTGGCTTTGACCCTTGGAGACTCTGCCCCCCGGAATAAAGGATGTTCCGTAGGGTCTTGTCAGGTCTCATGGGGGTTGCAGAAAGCAGACTCCGAGCTTCCAGCCTGGCATGGGAGCTGGGGGTAGCGAGCCAGTGCCAAGGAAGGGCACGAGGGAACTGGAGAAAGTAAACTGCCAGCCCCTTTGAGCCAATTTCGGAAGTTAGGCTTCGGGCTTCAGAGCTGAAAGGCGCTCCACCTTGTGGCTACAGGTGGTATCACAGCACAGGGAGCGGATGGCTCAGTCCCGGATGGCTCACTGTGGGCTTTTCCTCCTTTCCCCTCTCCCTACCCAACAGCCTGCCAAGCTCCGGCATTACTTGGGGCCACTTGGCAGGACCTTTCTTTATGTACCTCTGTCTCTGCTCGCTTGGAGACAGACTGCTGCCCCTGTTCTTGTCTAGGCTCTGAGTTTCATCTGCTAGGTGACCTTGGCAAGTCCCGGTAAGCTCTCAGATCCTTGGTTTCTTTATCTCAAAGGATGGTGGCTGCCTCCTAACTTTTTCCCTACTCTTTTCTCCCTCCGTAGCCACGCACAGAGGCCTATGACCAGCAGAGCTGGCACATGAAAACTTGGGGCAGTGAGTCAGTGCAGGGGTGTAAGGGGCTGGGGCAGTGAGTCGGTGCAGGGGTGTAAGGGGCTGGGGGCAGTGAGTCAGTGCAGGGGTGTGAGGGGCTGGGGGCAGTGAGTCGGTGCAGGGGTGTAAGGGATTGGGGCAGTGAGTCGGTGCAGGGGTGTGAGGGACTGGGGGCAGTGAGTCGGTGCAGGGGTGTAAGGGGCTGGGGGCAGTGAGTCGGTGCAGGGGTGTAAGGGGCTGGGGCAGTGAGTCGGTGCAGGGGTGTGAGGGCTGGGGGCAGTGAGTCGGTGCAGGGGTGTAAGGGGCTGGGGCAGTGAGTCGGTGCAGGGGTGTGAGGGCTGGGGGCAGTGAGTCGGTGCAGCGGTGTAAGGGGCTGGGGGCAGTGAGTCAGTGCAGGGGTGTGAGGGGCTGGGGCCAATGAGCCAGAGCAGGGGACTGACTTGGGGAGCTGGGGCAGTGAGCTGTAAGGCAAGTGAGAGGTTGTACAGAGAGTGTTGGGGGAGGTTTGCGCGTGGAAAGAACGAAAAGGTAAGTCGGCAGTGGCCTCTTGAAAGTCAAGTGTGAGGCCTGTACGTGGCTGAGGAGGGGACTTCCTGGCCTGGGGTTCTTGGTGGTTTGGGGAACAGGGCACAAGAAGATCTGACAATATGGTCAGTTTGGGCATGGAGGACCACAGACATGATTTCTTTCCTAAAGAAACATCCTTGTTCATCACATCCTGTACAGTCTACCTGGAGGCAGACAGGGTCCACAGACACAAAGAAATGGGGCCAGCCTGGTCTACTGAGTGAGTTCCAGGACAGGGTCCAAAACAATACAGAGAAACTCTGTCTCGAAAAACCAAAAAAGAAAAAAAAAAGAATGAACTACAGCAGGGGTGGGGGTAGGGGAAGTGGGTAGTCAAAGCCTCTCTGGTCCCTGTGATTCCTGAAAAAGGAGGATGTAGAAATGAACCGTAGCTGGGCAGTGCTGGACGCCTTTAATCCCAGCACTTGGGAAGCAGAGACCGGCAGAGTTCTGTGATTTCGAGGCCAGCCTGGTCTACAGAGTGAGCTCCAGGACAGTCAGGACTGTTACACAGAGAAACCCTATCTCAAAAAACAAACAAACAAACAAACAAAAAAAGAAGCCTGGTTTGTGGTGGCACATGCCTTTAATCCCAGCACTTGGGAGGCAGAGGCAGGAGGACCTCAGTGAGTTTGAGACCAGTCTGATCTACAGAGAGAGTTCCAGGACAGCCAGGACTGTTACCCAGAGAAACCCTGTCTCGAAAAACCAAAGCAAACAAACAAATGACCTATAGACAGGATGGTAGTCAGGCCCCGTCTAAAGTTCTTGTGGGGGAAGCCTTAGGATTCTATAGGCCAACACTATGTTCTACAGAATTTTCTAGCACTACAGAAGTGTTCTGCAGCTAGCCTGTCCTATAAGGTGTACCCATTAACCATGTGTGGCTTCTGAGCAACTGAAATGTAGCTAGTTCCAGGAAAGGGAACTTGCAATTGTATTTCAGCTTACCAGATTCAGACGCAAGCAGCATGTGTGGGTAGGAGAGGGAGCAAGCTGCCTGCCAGTCTAAACGAGGAGCAGAACGGAAACACAGGCCATCCCGCAGTGGAAACTGGAGCCAGGGAAACCGCGAAAATGACGAAGCTGTGAACGGACAGCATGATTCGCTGGGAGAAAACAAAGGAGCCAGTTAGAGGAAAACTGCACACTGGAAGAACAGGGAAATAATTGGAAATAAAAAGGGAAATAATTTCATAATGAGTAAATGAAAACAGCATTAAAGGGGCACATTACATTGTGCCTTGAGTTAGACAAAGCCAAAAGGGAGAACTTTCAAAATAGAGATTTATTTTTTTAAAGATTTTATTTCTTTATTTAATGTATGAAAGCTCTACTTGCATGTACTCCTTTATTCCTGAAGAGGGCATCAGACCCCACTATAGGTGGTTGTGAGTTGCTATGTGGTTGCTGGAAATTGAACTCAGGACCTCTGGAAGAGTAGTCAGTGCTTTTAACTGCTGAGACATCTCTTCAAAATTAAAAATGAAAATTTATTTTATTTTAAAATTGTGGGGGGAGCAGTATGTGCATGTGAATGAGTTGCCTGAGGAAGCCAGAAGAGGATATCAGATCCCCTGGAGCCAGAGTTCCAGGCAGTTGGGAGCCACTGACACAGGTGTTGGGAGCCAAACTCGGGTCCTCTGCAAGAGCAGCAAGTGCTCTTAACTGCTGAGCCGTCTCTCCAGTCCCCAGTTTGGAGGTTCTTTTTTATTGTGTCTTTTGATTTCTTTTTCTTTTTCTTTTTTTTTCTGAAACAGGGTTTCTCTGTGGCTTTGGAGGCTGGCCTCGAACTCACAGAGATCCTTCTGCCTCTGCCGCCCAAGTACTGGGATTAAAGGCGTGCACCACCACTGCCCGGTTGATTTCTTTATTTTTATTTTGTGTTTTGCCCATGTGTATGTATGTGCGCCAAGTATGTGCATTGCCCACACAGGTCAGAAAAGGGCACCTGGCGTCTTGAAACTGGAGCTAAGCATGGTTGTGAGCCACCATGTGGGCACTGAGAAGCAAATCCAGGTCCTCTGCAAGAGCAGCAAGTGCTCTTAGCCACTGAGTCATCCCGCCAGCCCCTCATAGCTCTTGACACAGTACCTAGTCCCTAAGATGCTTTTCAGCAGTGGGTTAGAGGACTCGCCTAGAATTTCAGGGCCAGAGATTGTAGAGCATAGTTATTGGTGCGCTTCAGGAGGCTGGCAAAGTACACTTGACGTAGCATTCGTGTGCTAGTACACCAGAAGTCACCAGGATGCCCAAAGACATGCAGTCATCTTGCCAGATACACGGAGAGTGGAAATGAAGGTAGGCTTTTGCTGTTGTTGCTAGTTGTTTATTTTTGTTTGTTTTATTTTATATTTTTAATGAAGGTAATTTCTAACGACATTTTGTAATTTGTTCTGTAATATTCTTTTACTAAATTTGTGACTTTTTCTGTAAGAAACTGGTTATAATAGGCTGCCTTGTCCAAGTCACACTGGATGGGTGGCATGAGCACTGGGGCTCAGCAGGAATGGGTAACTGCTATGCAGAAGGGATGGTGGCGTCTCTTGCTTCTGGTGATGCCTGCTTCTGTGTGTTAATGACTTGCAGGGAAGCCATTCAGGACTGGAATTGAGAAATAAATGTGTACAGGCTGCTTTTCTGTAACGAGTTATGATTTGATTTGGAGTCCAGTTGGTTTTTTTCCTAACCAGACTGCACTTGTTTTCACAGTGATAAGATACTATGTGTGGTGTGCTTTGCATAAATCCTTATTCTACAAGTTACTAGCTGACAGTGCAAACGCTAATTGGGGGTTCTATTTATAGGGAGTCTAGAATAAATATGAAGCTCTTCAGTCAGCTTACTTAGTGCAGCACTTCCTTGGGCTGTGGTTGTTCTCATATCCAGCTTGTTTCTTCACCAAGGAGTAACTGTGGTGCCAGTCAAACCAAACAGCTTCATGTAGAAGAATGAAACTGGAACCTTATTTCTCATCCTGTGCCAAATTCAACTCTAAATGGATCAAAGACCACAAGACCCAAGACCCTCCTTCTGAGAGAGGAGAAAGTAGAGAAGAGGCTTGAACTCACCGGAACAATAAAAGGACTTTCTGAACAGGACCCCGGGAGTGCAGGAATCAAGACCAACAATTAATAAACAGGACCTCATAAAACTAAAAAATAAAAAATCTGCACAGAAAAGGACACCCTCACTCCAGTAAAGTAGCTCCCTACTGAATGGAAAAACACAAGCAAAAACTTTGTCAGCTAGGTGTCTGATGGAGATAACAAAATTACTAATTCATGAAACTCATAAGTCCAAAGTGTGCCTCAGGCACAGCTGGAGTCAGGCAAGTCCCAAGGGTCTCGGGCCTCTTTGCTTTGGCCTTGTCTTTTGGTCTATTCAGAATAACCTTCTCCTGCTTACAGGATTAATAAATGCAGAGATTTTTGTCTTCCCAACAATTTAATCAAAACTTTAATAATGAGCCTCGCTGACTTAAGGTCAATCTCCTGAGGTCACGCATGTTGTGGAATTTATTTTAACAGGGTAAGGATGTGTTAGATTTGTTTATGTGTGGAATACTACTTTAACTGTGTAAGGGTACATTACATTTATTTATGCTGCCTTTGTTAACGATGTAAAGGTGTGTTACATTTGTTTATGCTGCATTTCTTTAATGATGAAAGGATGTGTGCTTAATTATGCAAAGATGTGTTGTATTTGTTTCACCTCGTCTGCCTAAGGCACCTGGTTGGTCTCATAAAGAGCTGAATGGCCAATATTTAGGCAGAGAAGGAAAAGGCGGGGCTGGAAGGCAGAGAGAATAAATAGTAAGAGAAATCTAGAAAAGAGAGAGAGAGAAGAAGAGGACAAGGGAGAAAGAGGGACACACCTGGAGCAAGAAGCCAGGCAGCTCCCAGCCGGGAAGACACAGAAGCAGCGGAAGTAAGATATACAGAAAGAAAGAAAAAAAAAAGGGTAAAAAACCCTGAGGCGAAACATAGATGAAGCGAAACAGGTTAAGTTCTAAGAGCTAGCAAGAAACAAGCACACGAAGCCGGGCGTTGGTGGCGCACGCCTTTAATCCCAGCACTCGGGAGGCAGAGGCAGGCGGATCTCTGTGAGTTCGAGGCCAGCCTGGTCTACAAAGTGAGTTCCAGGACAGCCTCCAAAGCTACAGAGAAACCCTGTCTCGAAAAAAACAAAAAAAAAAAAAAAAAAAAAAAGAAACAAGCACACGATAAGGCCGAGCTTTAAAACCTAATGTTAAGTCTCCGTGTCAGAATTTGGGAGCCGGATGGTGTCTCAAAAGAAAAACCCTGGTACACATGTGCCTACTGCGGGAGCGTGAAGGTCCCCGGACCGGGGTCTGCGCGTCAGGTTGCAGAAGATGAGCAGTGAAATGGATTGGACCACACAGCAAACACAGCCGCCCACCTTGCGTAGCTGGCTCCTCCCAAGACTGACTGCTCCTCAGGCAGGGGTGGTGCCAAGAGAATGTGGTCCCGCAGGAGCCAGCACAAACAGAACACGGGCTTTGGCTGGTGCCTAGGGGTCTTAGCACTCTCTGCTCCTTCTGTCTAGAAGAGCCTTCACATTCCTTCCTCACCCCTTACTACACTTTGTAAGTCTGGAATCCTACTCAGACACATCCAAGCTCTCTCAAATGACCCTCCCTGCTTCCCATCCTCTTTCTATGATTTACACTAGGCAATTTCTCCAAACCCATCTTCCAAGTCCCTAACTCTCTTTTTGGCTGTTTCCATGGTTTCAACACTTATACATACACTTAATTCTAAATACTCTGGTGTTCTCTTTTAAATGTAGTCTTTCTCTAATACGTTCCTTTTTAAAAATCTATTCCTACTTCATCTTTTATAACTTCATCTATTTCAAATATTTGAAGATCCCTGAGTGCAAATATACGATTTCCATTGATTTTTCTACTGTGAGTAGTTTGTTCTTGTGCTTGCTGTTCATTTTATTGTATTCTTTTCTTTGTTTTGTTTTGTTTGAGACAGGGTTTCTCTGTGGCTTTGGAGGCTGTCTTGGAACTAGCTCTTGTAGAACAGGCTGGTCTCGAACTCACAGAGATCCTCCTGCCTCTGCCTCCTGAGTGCTGGGATTAAAGGCATGTGCCACCAATGCCTGGCTATTTTTTTAAATGGGATTCATTTTTAAATATTGATTTTAATTTTAATTTTTTTTTTTGGTTTTACGAGACAGGGTTTCTCTGTATTGTTTGGAGGCTGTCAGTCCAGCCCGGCCTCGAACTCACAGAAATCCGCCTGCCTCTGCCTCCCGAGTGCTGGGATTAAAGGCGTGAGCCACCACTGCCCGGCCTTGATTTTAATTTTAATTAATTATTTATCTTCAACACAGGATGTAACCATGACTGGCCTGGAACTTACTCTGTAGACCAAGCTAGACTCAAACTCACAGAGATCCACCTGCTTCTGCCTCCTGAATGCTGGGATTAAAGGCATACACCATATTTGGAATTATTTTATTTTGGTTCTTTTGAGTTAGGGACTTCTATGTAGTCCTCACTGTCTTGGTACTTGCTACATAGACCAGGCTGACTTCAGACTTAACTGAGATCCACCTGCCTCTGCCTCCTGAGTGCTGAGATTAAATTGGCCTATTTTACTTTATTTGAATGTGTGCGCTTGAGTGTATGTATATGCACCACATGTTTACAGGTACCTGTAGGGGCCAGAAAAGGATGTTGGATCCCCTGAAACTGGAATTACAGGTGGTTCTGCACTGTTATACAGGGGCTGGGAACCAAACCCAGGTCCTCTGTAAGAGCATCAAGCACCCTTAACTTCCACGCCATCTCTCCAGCTGGTTTCCTTGTGTTTGGATTCATACGGATTGAACTTGGGGGACTTCTGAGTCCTCACTGGGGACTCTCTAGAAAGGGTTCATGTTTAGTTCTGCCAGTTATAACGGAGTGTTTTTAATCTGGAGCATTTTAATTTAGTTTCTTTTTTTTTTAAAGATTTTATTTATTAATACAACATCCTGCCTCCAAGTATGTCTGCACACCAGAAGAGGGCACCAGATTTCATTATGGATGGTTGTGAGCCACCATGTGGTTGCTGGGAATTAAACTCAGGACCTCTGGAAGAGCAGCCAGTGCTCTTAACCTCTGAGCCATCTCTCCAGCCCCTAATTTAGTTTCTTGAATTGGGTTTTCCTTGCTTCTGAGCAGTGAATTTTGACTTCAGCACTAGAAGAACAGAGAGCTGGCCTACAATCACATATTCCTGAGGGAAATTACTATCGTCTAGAAGGCAGGCTTTTGTCTGACAGTGCTACCCGTATAGACATTTGTTTGGGGAGGGAGCACTGTCAGGGGAGGGAGCACTGTCAGGGGAGGGAGCACTGTCAGGAGAGGGAGCACTGGTGATTCTCCTCCCTACTCACACACTGTCAGACATCAGTCAACTCAAGGCTCACTCTGGACGTGGTGTCAAGGTGTCCTTGGCTGCTGAGGCAGCTCTCACCTTCCTTGGAGCAGATTTGTTTTATTACATTTATTTATTTGTTTTTCTTTTTCTTTTTCTTTTTTTTTTTTTTTTTTTTTTGGTTTTTATGAGACAGGGTTTCTCTGTATTGTTTTGGAAGCTGTCGGTCCAGCCTGGCCTCGAACTCACAGCGATCCACCTGCCTCTGCCTCCCGAGTGCTGGGATTAAAGGCGTGCACCACCACCACCCGGCTGTTTTCTTTCTTTCTTTTTTTTTTAATTATTTATTGTGCATGCAGTGCTCTGCCTGCATGCATGCCAGCGGAGGGCACCAGATCTCATTCAAGGTGGTTGTGAGCCACCATGTGGTTGCCAGGAATTGAACTCAGGACCTCTGGAAGAACACTAAGCGTTCTTAACTGCTGAGCCATCTCTCCAGCCCCTATTTTTTGTTTTCTTTATGCTCGAGGCTCTTGTGCCATGTGAGTGTGCATACAATGATGCATGTGTGGACATCAGAGGCCAACTTGCTGGAGTCAGTTCTCTCCTTCGCCATGTGTGTCCTGGGAGTTTATCCCAAATTGTCAGGTTTGGTGGCTGACACCTTTACCTGCTGAGCCATCTTGCCAGCCCTGGAGCAGGTATTTAAAGTGAACTCAGGACGTGAGTGTTTGTAGATGGCCCTAAGACTTGGCTGCCTGGAAGCTCTGGGTTCCAGGTTGAGCCATGGCAACAGAGAAGTCCACACCAGCTGTGGTGCTTGGCATGTCCTGCCTCCATCTTGTCCCTGCGCCTCTTACAGCTAACTGATCAGGTTTCCTTGATACCTTCTGTTTGAATGGCATGCTTCCAGAAGATTCCAATGGATGCAGCCTCACCTATCTTCCGGCCTCTGCCTCACTGCCAGGAGCGTAGCTTCTTTACCTTCCACACCTGCCAGGGTTTTTGTTCCTTGAAGGCTGTGGTGGCCTGTAAGTGTCCCCATCCCAGGGACAGACCTGTATGTGGCCAGTGTCCCAGCTCCTTCCTCCACCCTGTTTAGGGTCCTTGCTTTGCACTAGGGAACACAGACAGCATTCTAGTCGGTGCCTCTAGGCGGTGTCCACGCCTCAGTTTCTGAAACCTGAGTGGGACTAAAGCCAAGAATCCCTTACAGGAGATTGTTTTTCAGGGGGCCTTTGGATTGCTCAGCAGCTGACTGTGAGACATGAGAGTACCCTGTGCTGTCTGCCGGGGCCCAGTCTCCAGAAGGATCCTGCCTGGTGAAGGAGGGAGGCAGGGGCCAGCTTTAGAAAAACAAAATATAAGATTCAACTGGCCATGACTGGTTTTGAAAATGGAGGAAAGGGGCGTGGACTGCAGAGATGGCTCAGAGGTTAAGAGCACTGACTGTTCTTCCAGAGGACCCAGGTTCAATTCCCAGTACCCACATGGCAGCTCACAACTCCCTGTAACTCCAGTTCCAGGGGACCAGACATCCTCACATAGACATATATGCAGGCAAAACACCAAGGCACATAAAATAAAAATAAATGCATTTTGAAAAGAAAACGGAGGAAGGAGCCAAGGAATGCAGGTGGTTTCAGAAAGTTGGACAAGAAAAGGCATTCTCTCTCTGGCTCCAGAGAGGCATATAGCGGTCCCGACATATGACTGCTCCATTGCCTGAGACCCACTGCAGACTGCCCAACCCTAGGGCTATTAAATAACCCAGGACGGTGCTGTTAAATGCCTGGGTTGGTGAGATATTGAGGATGCAAGATGGACATGGAGGCTCAGAGAGAAGAGAGGTCTGGCTGAACACCCCCATGAGAACTGTCATAAATGTTATAGCCAGACAGTGGTACAAACCTTTAATCCCAGCACTCTAAAGGCAAAGGTAGGAGAATCCCTGTGGGTTCAAGGCCAACCTGGTCTACAGAGTGAGTTCCAGGACAGCCAGGGCTATACAGAGAAAAACAAATTTAAAAAGGTGGGTTTTTTTATTTATATGTATTTGTGTGTGCTTGCTTGTCTATCTGAGCATCATGTGTATGGAGGTGGCCAACGAGGCCAGAAGAGGGTGTTCGATCTCCTAGAACTAGAGTTACAGGTGACTGTGAGCTGTCCAATGTGGGCGCTAGAAACCAAACCCAGGTCCTCTACAAGAGCAACAAGTGCTCTTAACTCCTAAGCCGTCTCTCCAGCTCTACAGCCAGGCCTCTTGACTGTTACCAGTGCCACTCTTCCTAAAGG